AAACTCTACAAAACAGGTTCCCGTCGTGGTAAAAAACCCTTCTTTTCCCCTGATATCTCTAAATATCTTTGGAAGTGGATTTTGGTCGGGGGAATCCACGCCAAGATTCCTTGGATCATTTCATTGCTGCGGCAAATGACTAATGAAACCTCGAAAACGGGATTCTTCAGTGTAACAACAATATTGCGGAAACGGGACCAGAATTAGAGAGATTTAGATTTACGTTTACGGCAAACGGCGAACGTATAATTGCACCGTGTCGGCAAGTTTTCTCTTAACTTGTGCTTTGCTGTTCATTGCTTCTAGCCCAAAATTAGTAGCTCCACATTAGTTTTGTCTTTAACAATTGTTTAAGACAGATGTCAGCCCCACGTTTTCTATTTTGAGTAGTTCTCAACTTGAATCTGACGTTTGCAATTTGCCGTAAACGTCACTCTGAGTCCCTCTATTTAATTATGTCGTCACGGAAAGACCGCTTGCCAAATGTCCTCGGCGTTTTCTTGAATTCACTCGGAGTGCAGCGTGTGTGAGTACTTTCTACTAACTGGATTCACTTTTGGATTTTATCAAAGAAACGCAAAATCCATTTGTGGATTCGAGAAGCAGAATTTGGGTTTTACCAAATTAAAGAAACGAATTCGCTTTGTTCTCATCCAGGAAGGTACTGTTTTGTAAATGTTTCTCCTGTGGTAGGCTCAAAATAGAGATCAGCTTTGAAAGATATAAGTAATAGAGTTTTCCCCCAAAAGAACAAAGGAATTCGAGCTCATGTAAAAATAAGTTGTTGTTGCTGGAACATGTATTTTTAGAGCAGTTTTTAGGATTTACGAGGGGAAACGTGACCAGCCGATGCCAAGGCCCTTTCCCGCCCCTCCCAAGCCTTGGGAACGAGGTTACTAAGGGCGATCAGAATCAAAATTCTCCTTGTGATATCGATGCTTTCTAAAATTGATGGGTGACGAGAATTAAGGACACGATAACTCAAGATGAATCTGGTTGATGATTCAGCTGCTTATCCCCTCTGCTTCTATAAGAAACGTACGAAGACAACAAAAGAGCATTTGAATTTTGATAGTAGGCTTTAAAGGTTTTAACAAATCTATATTTATTCTGACGCAGATTTGTACAAACATAATCCCCTAAATGAATATGGGGTCATCAGGTCTCAAATCTGGCGAGCTGTCCGCCTGGTCATAGATACATCTCTCCATTACAAAAACATGTCTCGTGATGAAGCATTGGCCTTATTTAGACAGTACCTGTGGGACGACAGTGACGTCATTAATAAGGAAGTAACTCGTTACCAGGCCTGGCCAGGTCAAGCTACTTCGTACATGATTGGTCAGTTGGAGATTTGGAGGATGCGCAATGAGTCGGAAGCAAAGCTGGGTAAAAAGTACGATATTCGCGATTTTCATTATCACGTTCTTTCGCAAGGAGAGGTACCACTGTGGTTTCTCGATAAATATGTAAAAACGTTTTATGCCAGTGGAGTTTTACCGGAGGCTGAGTAGCTAGTACTATTAGACGTAGTATTTAGTATTTATCCTACTGTTTTTTAAACACTTTCCTCCTCTTTGGAAAATTGAAGTTCTTATAGAATTTCTTGGAGAAAAGACACTTGCCGACACCATTCCTACTCCTCCTTCCTCCCCCCACAAACAGACCTTTTTGGGGAATGTTTAGTATCCAGAAGTAGTGAAGTTACAATAGTCCAGTTAAATCCAGTTTCGAATTCTACAAGGCCGCTGAATAGAAGCACTGAAGACTCGTTTATACAAGGTCAGCCTCTACCTAAAGTAGAATATTCACAAATACCGGTGAGAAGGTGCCTGAATTTGAGTTAAAAACAATAGAAACAGTTGTACACAGGTCTTCTTCTGACTGGAATTTGTGAATATATTTGCCTTAGGTCGAGGCTGACCCTGTATAAATGAGTCTTCGGTGCTTCTATTCAGTGGCTGCGACGAATAGGCCACTTCCGAGTTCCAAAAACCCTCACTTTTAAAACGAGGCTAGGTGAACAAACCTTTGTTGTGAAAATGAGTAATATTTGCATGAGACTGAAAAATGATTTCCATATCAAAGGCTGAGCACCTACCCTCGTTTTGCAACAGAGGCCTGGGGGGAACTCGGAAATGGCCTATTTGGAACTAGACTATTGTATTTCATTTTGTTAAAAACCATATAAATATTCACGCTCACCAATTATTTTGTTATTATATTCCACACTCGTGTTTCCACGATACCGTGTATAGAATACACGAAACGTCGAAAAAAAAAAAAATGATGAAAAAATGATGATGATGCGCCATGGAAACCGTAATTCTCGGGAGGTCTTTCTTGTAAAAATTCAAAAAAATTTTCTGTGTTTGTGGAGCAGTTTTGGTGATAAAACGAACTTTTAGGGAGCTTTAGTTGAAAAAAGTTATCTTTTTCGGCGCTTGTGATCGTGCTTTTGATTTCACAGACTTTAGTGCATGGGAATAAATAATTGTTTGCTTGGTTCTTGTAACCGGTTAATGAAAATACAACATGCAGTGGGACAGCTGTACGAGTATAACTGAGGGCAGGTGTTTATAAGGTCGAAGGTTGCCTACCTCAGGAAACTTTACGCCACTATGCAAAAAGTCCAAAACAATTTAACACAACACAGTCAAACTGATAGCTTATTTCGTCTTATTGTTTTAACCGGAAGTTTTCCCTGTAACTTTAGCAATCAACCTACTGTAATTTATGTACAGCAACGTCAAAATTAGTATCGTATACGGGAGATCTACCGTATAGAGTCTACAGCAAGTTTTTGTTGTTCGCGTAGAAAAGAATGAATGCGTTCTATTCAATACTGATTATTACTACGCACCTGCTGACAGAAAAACATTAGATTACAATCCACGTTGACATTCAACTAGAAGACTTTATGACATATGCAAATATCTGCTATCCGCGTAGGCGCAGTTCGGCGCAGTTCTAACAGTTCAGACTTCTACACACTGACTGCAACTTTTGTAAAGGGCAGTAAAAGTCTTATTTTTACAAGAAATTTGACGTAATGAAATTTCTTCGCGGTATTAAAAATACGTCGGGCAATATAATAATAATGGTGTAGGAGGATTAGTGCATTTAAATATCGAGAATTTACACTGCATTTATTAATTTAAGAGAAAGATGTGTCAATGTCTTCTTAATTGTTTTTCGCTTTTATTTAATCGAACGTGACAGTTGACGGCAACATAAAGTAAATTCATTTTAAAGGAAGTTTCCTGTCAATTACTGTGCATATTAAAGGGGCTTTTCTTTACCACGTGACTTTCAATGTGAACTTTTGTTGAGAAAGTGGAACAATTAGCACAGAAACGGCCGAGGGCAAATTGCTGAAACCTTCACTAGTTATGAATATTGGAATAAGAATGCCCATCTTAATGCTGCTCTATAAAAATAACGCGTGTTTACCCTCGTGAACAGAGAAAAAGACAGCTGAAAATTCACACGTAAAGACACAATTACCATTGGTTCTTCAGTTCAGTACTGTTAAAAACAAACCGGCGGGAATTTTTCGAGTTTCGTAATGGAACCAAACACACATTTCGAGGATAGTGTCGATCGTCTTGTTATTAACGTGAGTGGGGCGATCTTTGAAATAAGCGAGGAAAAAGTCGCGCATTTTCCGGAGTCTTTATTAGGCTGTCCGCAGAGAAGACAGAAATATTTTGATTTAGAGCGAGAGGAATATTTCTTCGATCGCCACAGGCAAGCATTTGAGGGAATACTTTTTTACTATCAAAGCGAAGGGAGATTAATTTATCCAGACAATGTTCCAGCCCAAGTGTTTGAGGAAGAAGTTAAATTTTTTATGCTTCCTATAGAGCCGGACAGCTGCCAGCGTCTAGAGAATGTTTTACTTGGCGATGTCAACCGTTCTCGGCCGCTTAACTTGTGGCAAAGGACTTTGTGGGAACTATTTGAATTTCCGAATTCATCTACAGCTGCAAAAGTGTTAGCCGTCGTTTCACAAGTGTTCATTGTTGTATCAATAGCAGGATCATGCTTGAAAACGGTCGAATCACTCCAGCCACAAAAGAAAAACTCAATGCTAAATGCGACAAGAAGGTCAGCTATAACTTTTCGAGATGACGAATGGCTCTCATTCGATTTGGTTTGTTACGGTTGGTTTACCCTTGAATGCGCTGTTCGACTGCTTGCTTCTCCCAACAAAAGCCAATATTTTAAGCTCCTTCCAAGCTGGGCCGATTTAGCCACGATCGTAATTTTCTACTTAGAACTCATTATTAAAATGACATGGCCTTCAGCAACCGCCCTGATGCTTATTCTGGAGACATTGGCAACCGTTCGAATCTTAAAAATTGTGCGATACTCGGCGGGTATGAAGCTACTGGTACTAACAGTCGCTTCAGGAATACGAGACCTCGGTCTTTTGGTGACTTTTGCGACGATTGTTGTAATTTTGGCTTCCAGCGCAGTGTTCTTTGTAGAATTCAATGACGAGCCAAATAATCAATTTCAGAGCATACCCGATGGGTTTTGGTGGGCAATAATTACAATATGTACTGTCGGATACGGTGATAAGGTACCCAAAACCCCGATAGGGAAGTTTATGGGTGCGATATGTGCTGTACTTGGCACCGTAACAATCGCGTTGCCCTTGTTTCGTTTCGCGTCTCACTTTCGCTCGAAACTCGAAACCTCTGTTTTTAGTATGCAAGCTCACCGCGATTCAAATGCTAACAACAGAAAACGAAGCAGTCATTCATCGTAAAACTTTTGACTTGCCTTACATTTCATATTATGATTTTCTCATTGTTATTCTGTCCGTAATATCCTTTTAGTTATACTACTAATAGTATTTGTATCTTGAGAAAGGTTTCATATGGTCATAAAAGCTAGAATGACTTTGACTTCGGGTATCTAAAAAAAACAATGAGAAAAGAGAAAATGTAGTTTTGTGAATACATTAACAAGTCAACAAGCTAACAATATTGGTTGGTCACTTTGACGGTACCGAAGAATGGAGACTGAATATTCTTCGTAGATTGTCACTTCCAGACGAAAACAACATAAAATAAAAGATTTAAGAATAGTACACATGTTTTGAAAACGGCTCAGTTATTTTGATAAATTTGGCGGGGTTTCAGAAGAGCAAAAACTTTTCAAGGGCCAAATTGGCATAAATGAATGAAACTGATGATGAAATTTCGAAGCGACTATGATAAAAAAAAAATTAAATTTCCTTTTATATAAAACAGAGGACAAAAAGCGAACTCAAGCTCATTTTGTTTATTTGTTTCTTGTGCCGGTTCGCGGTGCTTTTTCAACACTTTTTTTTGGCTTCTTTTCACCTTAACCAACCTTTACATGAAGCCAAGAAAAACAAGCGATATATTTGCATTTCCAGGGGGACATATGTTTTTGTGTTCAGTCCTATTAATGAAATCTTCTTAAAAACAAAACAAAAAAATGATGAAAAACAAAACGCCTATTTTTGTTCAATTTTTTTATCTGCAAAAATTACCTAGTACTTTGGATGGCGGCATTGGAGTCTATAATTATGTGTTTTTCGTTTAGTATAGAAAATTCCAAAACTCAAAGCAAAATTTCGAATAAATGAATGGGAATATTACGTCCGAATTACTCGAACTTAATTAGCTATATCAGCCTTGTCGTAATTTTGCTCTGAGGTTTGGACTACTGCCAGAGCAGGTTAAAAACTTTTTTGGTAACATATGTGTTTTTCGACAACTTCAACTTTTTCTTTGTTGTGGGTGATATGTTTTGGCCGATCACCAACTCTTTGGAAAACTGTATCTGTGGAGAGTATCTTATTAATTCAAAACGAGAGGCGTTTATCAAGAAAGGGCTTGAAAACAGAAAGAAGCCGACTTCTTAAGAACTTATTGACTGAATTAGATTCGGCATATCAGATGAAATACCCTCATTTCATTCGCGCATTCGCCAAATATTTTATAGTAATAATGGTGGGAACAAAAAAAACCCAAACAATCGTTATTTTCTTTATCTTCACTTCCTAAATTATAAATGAGAATCAAACTGAGAATATAAGCCAGTAGAAATGGGACTGTAGTCATTTATCTCTAAGTTATATAATATTATCAAGGTCAGCTTAGCAAAATTTTCAGCTCGCAAAATGAAAGTTCAATGCCACAAAAGGACCAGTGAGGCTAAAAAGAGGACTGAGTTTGCGGAATGGATTTTGGCGTGACTTGCGGAATGGCAAAATTATGTGGAATGTGATATATGCTGAATAAAATCACAGCAATATATAAAGAGCGAAGCCCTCAGCCTTTTAAAAGTAGATTGCATAATTCTGTACCCCTCCCAAGACATACGGCCTGTTTACGTGTAGGTGGGGGACCCAAGGTAGGTGTGGCAACCCGGTTAGGTTGGGTAACCCCGCCTGTCCATATAATCTCTCATTTTAATTTGATCATTTCTGCATTTTAGGTGGGGTGACCCGCCACATGTTACCTCCGGCTATCTGGGGTCCCCCACCTCCATGTAAACAGGCCCTTAGACAAACATTGCCCGTGTTTACCAGACGGAAAGCTTGGCGAAGGCAAAGTTTTTTAAAAAAAAATCCGAAAAAGTGTTTCATTTCAACGAGTTATAGCCTGTTCACAGACCCTCTATTTTCTCTTTTTTATAGAATTCGTCGAGCGCGCTCATAAAAGTAAAAAACGGAGGGGGAGGGATTTGTTGACCGCAAGCGCAAAGAATGGGGTTGTGGAGAGGAGAAAAATGTTTTTCTCGCGCGCTCACTTCGCTCGCGCGCTGTAAGGACAGGCTAAGATAGTTAGTGCTAAACAATGCTGTTACGCGAAATGCGGTATTTATTCTACTAACGTTTCCACCAAGACTACATAAATTGTGTATGAAAAAAAAAAATTAGATCATAGAAAGTTTTCTAGTGCAGTTGCAAAGCCATCACAAGGAATCGGTCGTTGTCCTCGCGCGTATAGATAATGACTAACGAAAAACAATTGGCTCCCTTTCTTTTTCTTTTCTTCCCACTCTTTCATGTCTGTCGGTCTTCAGTTTTCGCGCCACTCCGCATTAGTGCGTCATGTATGGCAGCATGTATGGTGAATGCTTTGCACTCGCGCACGAGGTAGTGAAAATGCTCTCGCTGAGAGACACGAAAAGGAATATTTACCGAAATTCATAGTTATAACAAATACGCAGGAAGGATGGGAAGAGCAGAGCAAGGTTTTACCCTCCTAACGCATAAAAAGGTAAGAATTTTATTTCGTATAAAGCCTACAGAAGATGTGTTCTTAACACTGATTCGACCGTCAAATCAGTTGTGGCAGAGGAATGCAGTCAAAATTAAAGAATACACTAAAAAATCGTTATTATCGCTTTGAAACATCGTCAAATAACGTTTCACAGTCTAACCTAAACTGGCCTGGCGAAAACGCAACGGGGATATCGACTGTATCGTAAACAAATTTCCCTTGTCGTTTT